ATCAGGTTTTTTTTGGAAAATTCTGGGTTTCTGGTAAAAAGGGAAGTGGAAAAAGGGGTGTGTTTGGCTGTGACAGGACTGAAAGTTGTCAGCTGGAGGCCACCTGGGCCGGGGCCAGACCTGCCACGTGGTGCCACATGGCACTGCCCGGTCTCTGGAAAGGGAGGGGCACCTGCACCTCCAGGTGTGTGCCCCWAATCTCCCTCTGCACCCCCAAAATCGCCTCCCAAATCCCAAATATGCCTCTACACCCCMGATCTATTCCTGAACCCCATGTCCTGGGTCTGCACCCCAAATGTCCCYTTGCACCCCAGATTTCTCTCTGTACCCCAAATTCCTGTCTGCACCCCATATTTCCCCCTGCATCGCAGACTTCCTTCTGTACCCCAATTTCCCCCTGCACCCCAAATCCCGTGTCTGCAACCTAAGCCTCCCCTGCACCCCAAATCCCAGATGTGCACCCAGGATTTCATTCCACGCCTCCCTTGCCCCCAAGCCCCAGCACTGCACAGCAAATCCCAGCTCTGCACCTAGTCCTAACCCTCACACCTCCCCTGCACCCCAAATCCCACTCCTGCACCCCCGTCTCTCCGCACCCCTTCCCGTCCCGCAGCGCGTCCCCGCCTCCCAACCCCGAACCTCCCACGTTCCTGCACCCCTGCCCTCCCCACCGTCCTGTTCCCCCACTTTGGGGACCTCCCGCTTTTCCTTCCCCCCGGCCTGCGGGTCTCCTGTCCCCCCAAATGTCCCTTTATGGGGTGAGGGGCGCGTCTCACCTTCGGTTGGATTCGGGACTACTCGGGCGCACTCGGTTCCGCTCGGACAAGTTCGGCTGCGTTCGGCTCGGGATGGGTTCGGGTTGGCTCGTTGGGGGCTCGGCTGAGTTCGGCCACACTCGGCTCTGCTCGGCGGCGTGTAGTTGGGGTTCGGTTAGGTTCGGTCGCGTTCTTCTCGGCACGGCCCGATGGGGGCTCGGTTGTGTTCGGAGTCACTCGGGTCAGCTCGTTGGCAGCTCGGTTGAGTTCGTCTTCGCTCGGCTCGGTTCGTTTCGTCCCGGTTAGGGTTCGTCTCGGTTCGGCTACGCGCGGCTTCTTCCGCCGCCGTCATCGGGCGTTGCCGCTTGGCTCGTCGGGAAATGCAGTCCTTGCACGGGGGCAGGGGTAGGGAGGGAGGTGTAGTGGAGGGAAGTGGGTGCGGGTCGGGGAATCAGGTGGAGGGAAAGGGAAGGAGGTGCAAAGAAAGGGGGGAAAGAAAAGGGGTGCAGGAAAGAGAATGGAGGGGCAGAAACAGAGGAAAGAGGATGGGCAGGGGGTGCAGGAGAAAGAAAGGAAGGGTAGGGAAGTTGGTGCCGAGGCTTTAAGGGGATTTATGGGAGGGGGTACAGGAATGGAAATGGGATTAAGGGAAGGGGAGCAGGTGCAGGGAAGGAAAGGGAAACTGCACAGAAGGGAATGGGGTGCATAGGAAGGGAAAGGGGATGCCCAGTTCTTCCCCACCCCCCCATCCTCAAGAGGTTCATCAAAAGGGATTCCGATATGAAGGTTTTAATGRCCTTTAATGCACTTAAAAAGAGATTTAAAATGAGCAGAGCTTTACCGTGGGTGTAGGATGGTTTTGAAGGCACCCACTCCACCCCCCACTTCCAGCTGGCTTTCCCTCGCTATTTTTGTGAGGCAATGGCAGGGCTTTGCTCTGAATTTTGACAGTGGAATTAAGGGAGACCCAGCCAGGAATTCCTGCTTTCACCTCCAAAGCCCTGGGTAGCCCAGGCGTCAGGGAGTAGTAGAATATCACAGTTTTTAATTCCTTTCTTCCTGGGTGAGACCTGGAACTGTGYCCTTCTCCTTTGGGAAAGTCTCAGGAAAGGCTGAATCCTTGGGGACCTTCTTCCTTGGAGTTGGGGTGGTAATTTGCACGTTAAAAGATGTCACCTTGTGCCTGTGTCCTGTGGAAACGTCCATTCCCTCTTCCAGCTTGTCCCAGCACATCCCCAGCCCTTCCAGGCCTTTCCCAGCCCCAAAATTTCATTCCCAGGAGTCCTGGTGTTGTAATACAGGATTCCCAGGCTGATCTCGTACACGAAGCCCAGGATGGGCACTGAAATTCCTTCTCYATGCCAGCTAATTCCACGTCTGTCCCTCATTCTCCATGAGATACTGAGGTTTGGCAAAAAGAAACCTCACGCTGATGTTGGGATGAGTCAGATCCAGCTGCATCCACACTTCTACCTCACTTCGTGGCTAAATGATGGAATAAAATGATTTGGGTTGGAATAAAATCATTCCCATAAATAAAAACCATCCCATTCCACCCCCCTGCCAAGGGCTAGGGCACCTTCCACTATCCTAGGTTGCTCCAACCTGGCCTTGAATAYTCCCAAGCACAGGGGAAAAGTCAAGGAAGATTTTCCACGTGCTGGATAAGGATAAGATCTTCCTGCTGCCTCCTGCAAGTTTTGGGAGACTAATTAGGGATCAGCCCGTGTTTCGGCCAAGGAATTGCTGGGGGGTGGCACAGCCAAGAGCTGCTGCGACAGCACTCGAATAACCACAGTGTTGCATTAAATGTAGTAATTTTGGAACTTAAATATGCTAATTCTGGTGATAATTACCAAAGAAATGTTGGAACATGAAGGAAGATCACAGGGGAAAGGGATAAAATTGCAATGACCACATGGGATGSACTCGTTTGTTAATGAAATATCACTTAGGCTTCTGATATTATCTACCAAGGTCTGGGGATTTAAGGATCAAAGCCTGGAGAAGAAGACCCATTAGCTCATCTGGGCAGGGCGTCTGCATGACACGATCCACGACATCCCAGGACATCCTTCCAGCCGGCAGGATGAAGCTTGGGTGGCTTGGCCAGGTCCTGCTGGAGAACCGCTGCTTTGTGTGAGGCGTCGTTTCTGTAATGAGGCTTCCTTGTGGGTGACTTATTTCCCTGGAACGGGCCYGGTTTTGGGTCCAGCCCCAYTCCCTGCTCTGCCCTCCCCATTCCTCATGGGAAAGTGAGGCAGATGGGGTTGAGATTCCCRGGTGCAGCCTATCCCAGGTGGAAGCTGTCCGGGGATGATGCTGCAGCCAAGCTCCAGGAGCCCAGGTGAGACACGCTGGCTCTAAAGCATCCCTTTCCTGCTAAAATTCCAGCTTTGTGGCTCTTTTTCAGGGAGCAGCACAACAGCAGGGACCCCTTTTCCAGGCCCTGTCCCACAGCAGGGCCTGGGCCAGTTTYCATAGGGATTGAGGGTTGCTTCCCACAACATGCAGCCTTTTGGTAGTGGGAGTCATCCAAAAGCACGGAGGGGGAAGACTGGCATGGGGATAGGAGTGATGGGCCACAGATATTCCAAGAAACCCYGGGCTGCGTGAGAAAGTCCTTTCCATCATCATTTTGGTTTTGTCCAGKCCAGACCTCTAGGAGGAGGAAGATAAACCTGCTACTGCTCCAAGGCGGGGTTTGGGATTATTTTGGGAGTGGGTGGGTGTGAATCCCATCGGGAGAGACACTGGAAGAGATGCCACCTCTTCCAGCCCATCCCACCAGAGTGGGGTCTCCTTGGATGGGGTGCAGAGAACTGGGCAAGGGACGCCCCAAGGGGTCTGGATTTCCCTGAGTGGGTGGGAATTTGGGCACAGGGCAATGTGGATCTGAGCCTCTTYCCAGTGCTCCCTGGAACTCACGTGAGCTGACTGTGCCCAAAAAGAGCGTCTCTGGCTCTTTCAGGTTTGGGATGAGACACGCTCCGAACGATGAGGCAGACATCCCGCTGGGCCTGGCTGCTCAGGCATGTCCCRGGACCTTGGGAAGGTGAAATTGTGCTCTTGTTTCAGTCCAAGGGATGATGTCAAGCTGGGTGAGCTCCAAGGTGAATGCGTATAAGAGCATAGAAGGCTTAAATTTGTCTTTTTTTKGATTAGACTTTACATTCAGATGAGCTGAAGTTCATGCCTCAAGGCCAACGAGGAAAAATGCACTATTTACACTAAATCAAGAAATAAAAAGGCAAAACAGATCCAAACCCATTCTCCCTCTACTTTCCTGGCTCAGGCAGGGGGTGTTTAGTTTTGGTTTTAGRGAAGGGCTTTGCTCCTTATCAAACTCTTGCTCTTTGAACTAAATGCAAATCCAGCTGCGCATGGAGTTCTCCTTCTCTCTATGCTCCAGCTGCCCCAGAGATGTTCTTTTAATTTGCTTTTGATGAATATTTTAGTGCTGCCAATAGCCCTGGAGACATTGAGGTCCTGTGTCAGCCCAGAGCTCACCTGTTTGCTGAGAGCTTTTATATAGCGAAAAAAAGCCACATCAAAGGAGAAGAAAAAGTGAACGTCACCAGTGAGCAGCAATGTGGGGAGACCAAATATGTTTRTGACCCAATAATYCATGTTGGAGTGTYGAAATTGGGAGGCAGAGAGGCAGRAAGGTGGCACAAGGGGCACCAGATTCTCAGCAGGGTTGTCACAGGCTAGTTGCGATACATCATTCCCAGGTCTCCATTCTGAGCCTCAGGAATCCACAGTGACTCCATGAGAGTCGAGTCAGGATGAGAGCTTTGCTGTGTGACCTTAGAGCAGAGAGTTGGTGGCTTGAGGTCACTAGAAGAGATGATCCAGGGAGCCTGAACAGGGAGAAGGGTGGCCCAGAGATCCCCTGAATGGGACCCTGCAGTGAGGAGAGGAAGGGGGATCTCCATCAGGAATCAGCTAAAGATCCCGTAACAAGGTGAGATCYGGGCCCAGAGACTCCCAGGGAGGTRGAGGTGGAATGGAGACAATGCAACACTGACCAGGGACATCTGAGGAACCCCCAGAAAGGGACCTGAAAACTGTGGTTACCCAAGKCCCTTGCAGGAAAAGGTGACAAGGACATGAAGCCTTCAGTGGGTGGTCCTGACACCTGGCTGAAACTGAAGGTGATGCCACACAGACTGCAGTTATTTAAGCTGCGAGCGAACTGTCTGTGCTTGGTATAGAAGAGGAGGCATCTTGGACACTGATGCAAGAAAACTTTATTGAGGCAAAAGCATGAATAGATGAGAGCAGCCACTGGAAGGGATCCAGGGTGAGGTGCAAGGAGGGTGACAATGAGCCCAAGGRGCTTTGCTTGCAGGAGCTGTGTCCAGAGCCCTGAGCTGGTGCTGTCAGGGGTGGTGCTGAGGGYCCTTAGCAGGTGTAACAGCCCCTTCCACCATAGCAGCCCAGGCCTCCCAGTCCGTAGCCATAGCCCAGCCCATAGCCAAGGCCRTAGCCAAATCCCCCAGAGATGGGCTGTCCCTGGGCATTGAGCTCGCTACCAACAGCAGCCGAGGAGGTGGATCCGACRRCGGTGTTCTGGGGGAAGGAGGTCATGATGGGTCCAGGCAGGGTGACCAGCACAGGGGAAGGGTTGATGACAACGCGGGAGTCCTGGCATTGCAGGGCACAGGGCTCGTTGCAGCTGTTGGCCAGCGGGGTGGGTCCACAGGGGCGGCAGCAGGCCATG